ATCATTTCTAAAAAAAAAAAGGGGGGGGGGCAGAGAAATCAAGAGAGAAAAAGAAAAGCCATCAAGTGACACCGAGAGGTGACTGAAGGAATGAGGGCCATTCTGAGAGAAAGGAGGCAGAAGTAGGTGGCCAGAAGATATGAGAAGGTGAGGGCAGCTTCTGAAAATTATCTGATGCCAAAAGGGTGTACGCCCTTATTTGTCCCTAACTAGGCTAATTTATAACTCTCAACAGACAGAAGATAACATGTAGAAAGCTGGTAATAACGCAAAAGTTTTTTGTCCCTATCTATGCAAATGACTCCTGCTCATGGCAATGCAAATGAATTGTCAGGTAGAGAACATAAATATCCAAATCGAATCTTCATTTTGATTGGTTCTAATATCTTACTGGTTCCCCATTAATTAATGAGTTAAATAAACTCTCTGGACTGTGTTCATTTTATTTTTATATTTTATATTTGTGTATATTTTATATTTGTACATGTAAGATAAATTTTCTTTGTTTAATAAAGGCAAGGCAGCTGGCCCTCTCTTCCTCTTAGGGTAGCTCCTTCAAACAATAGGCTCGACACTGTCAGGAATCTGACAAACCTAGTTTCTAGAGTTTACAATGAGAAGTCATGAGCCTTCCGCCTCTTGGATCTGTAAATACACATCTCCATATTAACTCATGTAACTCTCAGGATATGTACAGATTACCATAAACAACATGCACCTGTCTCTTAAGAAGATAAAAGAAGTTTTCATTGTTCCTTCTTCTACTTACTGTACAAAATGTGTGAGATTCGTCCCAGACTTTGTAGTTTCTCCTAGACTATCTGTATGCATATACATACACGTACTCAGTAAAAAGCACGTTTCCACATCTCTCTACTGCTTTGGCAGAGTATTTCTGTTGGCAAGGTTTTTTCATTTTACCAACATATGATACTCGAGATTACCTTTTGTAAAAATTATAATAAATATAAAGAGTACTTTTTTTGTATTTCCAGACAAAATACCCCAAAATGTAAAGTTTCAGTCAGAAAGAATAAAACAGGCAGAGTTATACTTTACAATCAGTGGTGAAATAAGTATCTATAAACTCTACAGCCCCCGTTAGTGGTTACAGACCTAGCAAGAAAAGCAACGGAATCCGTTAAGAATAGATATTTACATGTGTTGGCAACAGAGCGTAACGCTGACTACCCTAAGCAATGCTATGTCTGAGTGAAATAATAAGGCTAATGTAGCTTCCAAAAGTAGGCTGAACAAGACCACAGCAGGTGGAAGACTTGGCCAAACACAGAGCATTTATGAATGATATTTTTTAAACTGTTATGTGTTTAAAATACATTGAAATATTAAGATATATAAACATGTATTTTAATTTTAATTAATACAACAAACTGTGAATATAAAATTCAATTATGTAATATAAAATTTTCAAAAAGCAAAATAAATTTTTACCATCTTCCTAGCAATTCTCCCCAAGAATACAGGATCTTCTCAGGACAATCCTTAGACACGTCCCCTGTTCCACTTGAGAGTTCGTTATCACTCTCTACAAAAGAAACACAAAAACCAAAAAACACATTATTTATATATTATGTTAGATACTTATATATTATAAGATAAGAAATGTGACTATGTGCCTACAAAAAACAAATAATACTTATGCTTATATTATACTCACTGCAAAAATAACGGTAAGAACTTCACTTATATATCTTTAGCGCCCAAATACATATTTTCAAAGCATAAACTTTTTATGAAAATACTTATCCACACTTTACATAGTATGAAAACATCTACAAATAAATAGTTTTCCAAAGAGTAAAATGTAAAAGCTAATGGTAACAAAATCAGAAATTCCTATATAATGCTCTACTCCCCAGATGAATATTCTCAAATATTAATATTAGTGAGACCAACAAATACTAAAACTAGGGTCATATATATATCAATATATTAAATTGAGAAATATATATATTATGATATAAACAAACCAATAAACTGAAATGTAAAAAAAAATTTTAAGGTTTTAAAAATACGATCATAAGCACAAAATATTTTTGACTAAAGGCAACTGCTTGGCCTTTTAAAACGGCAACTTTACAAAACACCTGAAAATGTAAAGAAAGTAATAGTTTTAGAAAGAATAAGAAGGGCTGAATTACAGTTTACAATCAGTGGGGAAAATGAGTAATTCTAAGTTCGATAAATCTTTTAAGTGGTAATATAGTTGGTAGAGAAAGCAAATGTAATGGGCACAATTTACCTACATTATAACAAGACCTTTGACACAATACTACAAAAGAAAAGGCTAGAGAAATGTTGTCTGAATGATGAAATAAGCCAGATAAAAATCCATCTGGCTGACAGCAAGCACCAAGGTTTCTCAGCGCTGTCACAGCGTGACAGGGGCTGGCACTGAGTGGACCCCACCGCGATCTGTGTTAAGAACAGCATCACTTAGCCGACTATAACCCAAATGGTCCAAGTATAAATCAATGCACATAGGTCAACATACCCAACACCAAAAACATCAATGTGAGAGAAAAAGGTTTATTTGGCAAGGTTAAAAGATTTGGTCATATCCACATAAAAAGATTTTATCACATATAGTAAAATATAACCAACACCTATGCATGCACACAGAAAAATGCTTCAACATTTTTAGGATACTATCAGATAAGCAAGAATTAGGAAGGACATTTTACCCAAAAAGTGAATATTATTCTAGAAACCGGGATGAAGGTTAAGAGGGTAGACTTTAACTAACATGGCTGCTCTGGGAATACCTCACATAAGCACTCTATGAAGTTTACCCAGAAGAAGGATTGCTGGTTATATGGCAATTCTATTCTTAATTTTTTGAGGACCTTCCACACTGTTTTCCATAGAGGCTACACCAATTTACACTCCACCAGCAGTGTATGAGGGTTCCCTCTTCCCCACAACCTCTCCAACACTTGTTATTGTCTTGTTGATGACAGCCATTCTAACCGGTATGAGATGGTATCTCCTTGTGGTTCTGATTTATATTTCTCTAATAGCTAGTGAAGTTCAGCATCTTTTCATATATCTGTTGGTCATTTGTGTGTCTTCTTGGAAGTGTCTGTCTGCTTTTTTAATTTATATTCCAGGCGCTATTCTAAGTTTTATAGGTTTTTATCTCATTTCGTCCTCTAAACAACCTAATGAGGTAGTCATTACTAGTATGCCCACTTTAAAGAAGAGAAAATAGAGGCACAGAGAGGTTAAATAACTTGCCCAAGGTTACCCTGCTAATAAGTGATGAAGAGATAGGATTTAATCTCAGGTGGAAACCAGAGTCAAATACTATCTCTCCTTATAGTTTTTCCTGCCATGTTTCTAAAGGAGGCTGTGCTTGGGATTTAGCAGATACCAGTCTGTGCCAAATGCCAATATCTAGTAAATGCTGGGAGCCAGAGCCAAGAATGGAAAAGCCAGACACATTTAAAGCAACGTGTCCAAGAAACCCTAAATTGTGAGCAACGGATTTAATGGAGAGGCTTCAGGGTGTGTTCCTCTTGATGCTCAGGAGGCATGAAATTGATATTCCAGTGACACCACGAGTGCGAGCCAGATTCCGGTCTCCCTTGCTGCTACTGACTATGAGTGTGTTAATATGTATCGGCTAACCTGCTGGACAGGAAAAAAGGGGGCTGAAGGAAAGTAAAGTTCCTACTATATAGATAAGACAGAGCTTCTAGACAGGATGAAAAAATAGACTAACAAAGAAATAAGAATGAAAAAGGCATGAGAACAAAGTGCAGTAAAAAATATGATGAGGACGTTGGCAAGTAGAACACGACAAAGAAGAAAAGAGGAGGAACAGCGAACCATGCTGATACGGAGAAGAGTAACTCTGGAGGTTCCGACAAAGCAACTGAATCCCATCCCACACGGGGTCAAAAAGAGGACAAATGAGAGAATGCTGGGGCTCCCATCCTTGGCTAAATCCTACTTTTCCATGGAAACTCAGGCAGGGGTTACCCTCTTCTGGCTGGGCTACGTGCTGCTCTCTATTGTCCTGTGCATCTTCCTCCATCAGACTTTCGGTCTCTTGGCTGTGGGGACTCACTTTATTTCTATATCTCAAGTGTCTAGATCCGTACTTGGCCGCAAAAGTGTTAAAAGTTGTCTGAATGAATAATTGAAGGGGAGGGGAGAGGAAAGGCGGGGAGAGGAAAATCCATCACAACTACAAAAACTGTGTGCCGTGAACATTGGTGACCTCTGGGACACGGGCGTCTGTGTGCAGACAGAGGTAAATAGGAGTCCGGTTCATTCAGTCCTTCATATCATAATGGATCCAGGAGAAAAACGGCCTGGATTTGAAACCGGGTTCTACCGCTTACCATCTGTGAGCCAGGTCAAGCTACTTAACTTCTCTGTGCTTCAGCTGCCTAGTTCTAAAATGGAAATAATAATAGCATCTACCTTATAGAGTAGTCGTCGGCATTAAGCAAGTTACTATATGCAAACACATATGACAGCGCCTGGCAAAAGGCAAGAGTTATATAAATGTTAGCTATTAAAAGCTGTTTTCATTCAATAAATATGAATGCCTATAATGTAGAGTACTGGGGTAGAAGCTAGAGCATCCCACGTTTATTTTTTCTTATGATCCACTGACTGCTAATATGCAGAGAGCAGAACACAATTGTGCAACACCAAAGCAAGGTAAAGAGCTGTACATTTTTAGATCAAATAAAATAAATATGCAAGATACTTCAATCAAAATAATTTAAGGGCTCTCTTGTAACTTTGGCCACTCCCTGCTTTGGGGGAAAATAATTGTGTTTCTATTAGCAACTTTTTCATCCTATTCATAAAGGAAAATTTTCAGAACTTGTATCGATAGACATTATAAAAGGAAAAAATATACACAGAATGCTTTTCAAATAAAGTTAAAAATAAATCACAAAATTAGGAGCAAATGGGCCGGTCATAAAAATCTCTTTTCAGGGTAAAGGGGGTCAAATATGTGGTGATAGAAAGAAATCTAACTATGGGAGGTGAACACACAATGTAAATATATATATGCCTTACTGTTAAAATGTACAGCTGAAACTTACCAGATTTCTTTAACCAATGTCACTATAAAAAAATTAATCAAAAAAAATCTCTTTTCAACTGAAGGATTATTCAAAATAAACAGCTGAAAAGTAAGCACAGATAAAATGTGACTGAGGGTTTTCAGAAATTTTCCCCTTAATTTTACCCTTTTTAAATAAGTAATAAATGTTTTCTGAAAAAAATGCAGAGAATCACAGCTTGCTATAAACTCTCTTCTAAACACACTGGGGAGAAAAAACCCTGAAATCCTTATTAATTGTGTAAAACCTTATTAATTGTGCAAAACACAGGTCTGTATGATACCCGTCAAACTAAAACAGTAGAAAAGTAATTTATTTTGGTTAGTAACATATAATATCATTTTGGAAAGCCAAAAACTATAATCATATTTGTATGACCTTGAATATATATAACCTCTCATTTCTCATGTCATAATATACTTGTTTTATATGGAAGCTGATATACAAATGTAAATTACTGAAGTCGAACAAAAGATCGTCCTTAATTTCTGAAAAATTATAACATTTCCCACTGACAAAAGCAAGATGATTTATTATAGAGAGAAGATTCAAGGTAGAGGAGACCACACATCGCATGACTTCTTTCCAACTAAATCATCATCACTGTCATTCCGAATCTAATTACAGGTTTCTAATTAATAATCCCTGTAGTTGCTATGCATAAGTGATTAATAAAAATGCATCACCAAAACCTGTCAGCCATACTCAAGAGAACTAGGGCAGCCAAGACTCCTCACCGGAAGGACAATTAACAACATTAAGCAAACTGCTCTCTTAATTGCAAGGTTAGTATATTCTTTCGTGTGTATGTGTTTGTTGCTTTTTATGTTTTTTTCTGGGATATTAATGACATTTAGAATTTATTGAGATATTTATTTATATTTTGCATTTCAGCTACTTGGAAATGCATTTCAATTTTCTGCCCATTTTCTCTCTTTTTAGACTTCTTTACTGAGTTTTGACTGACATATAAAGAGCTATAGATATTTAATGTATACAACTTGACATGTTTAGAGAGGTTAGTATAGTCATAAAATTTTAAAAATTTGAGCATGTCCATTTGAATGTATTACCTATGACTTGCAAAGTAAATTGAGGGGTGGTAAATGAGGAAAGAATCTGGCAGATTATAAGAAAGAATATACAGTAAGTCATCAATAGGTTCTGTGACTTTAAGTGAAATGAAGTATAACAAAATCAATTTTACCATAAGCTAATTGATATACACAAGAGTTAAGTTCCTACAGCATCTGTTGAACAAATGGACATAATTCGAGGACCTGCTATATATAAATAGTTATGTTAAAGGATTATTTTAAAACACATCCTTCAAAGAATGACTTTTTTAAAGGTAGCCAATCAATTAGAGGGAAAAGCAGGAGAAAGAGTCCATCAGGGGAGCTCAAGTTCAGCCACTGGGTGGAAAGGAAGCTCA